CTCTTTCTAAACTTCAAAGGACATATGTACACTATAAAAAAATATGTAATATATTACACGAAAATATGCAAAAGTACAGAAATAATAAGTGTAAAATCACACGATAAATAATAGAAATTTTTACCTTTTCATTATTTACCATGTAATTTTACATTTATTATTTATGTAATTACATATTTTTTTACAGTGTAACACATATTGAATCTCACAATTATCTTTGTCCTTTCAGTTATATTAAAGAAAAAAAATACAAAATTTTGTAAATATCACATGCAGAAGAAAACGACACTGCAAGAGAATATAAAATAATTTAGAGAAAACAAATTTGAACTCCCTAATAAACATCCCTTTTTATCTTTTATTAACAGTCAATAGAGCGAATTCTTTAGACGCTCCAAGCTTCGGACAACACATGTAGCATATTCGTTACTCTCACAAACATCTTTGTGCCATGCTTTCGACATAAGTCGCGCATGTCTATACGGATCGTGCCACGATGAATGAAGAAAAAATGCAAGAATGCAGTATATTATGTCGGTGAATGATACAGATATATCGCGCTCTCATATTGTTACTCATATTTCATTTTTAGACCGTCGCGCGACAGACTTTAATCGCAATATCGCATTCATAATGATTAAAGAATGCGAGACCCTCTTATACCCTCTTTGCATTTCGCGTCTTCGTCTCATCTTATACATCCGGTTGCGCGGTCGGAAAGATTCCGAGAGGCGATGGCCATCGTCGAATCCGGTGACGACGACGTAGGTGATTCATCGCACAGCATGCCTATCGCATTTACACGCTTCTTACACATTTTCCTAGGTGCCGATTGATCGGCGTGCATTGCCTAATGCAGAGGTGCAAAGATATGCAACTTGATACCAAACAAGTATTCTGCATTTTTTAAGATTAATTATTTTAATTTATTATTATATTAATTTAATATATTAATATACTAATTATATTAATACATTAATATACTGTATTAATTATTATATTAATTTAATATGTATACAATAAAATTATGTACATAATAGAAAGTCAGCGAATTAAAATTATGCACATATAATAGTAATTCGAATTAAAATTATATACATAATAGAAAATTGATGACATAAACAAAATTATATGCACAATAGGAACTTAGCAAATTAAAATAATATTAAGTTTAACCGCAAACTGTAAAACTATCAAACGACTTGGTTGTGATTCAAGTCGTGAAACAAACTTCGAGACAAGCAATCCAGCATTGCGGAAAAAAGGCCTCGATACTTCAATTAAAATTAAATTCACTCAGTTAACATGCCTTTTTTAAAGAAAGGATATTTTTTAATATAAGTACTTGTGGTTGACTCAGTGTAAATTTCACGAAATGTCCAAGTATATTTTAATATATCGACTGTTAACATCAGAGTATATACAAAGTACAGAGGGATAATTAACTAGAACCTATCATTTAACTGTATTCAGTATATATATGAGAAGGAAACTAGTTCGTCAGTGCGTCGACAAGGAAGTAATATTTCTAATGACATTACTAGGGCGTGCTAAGTTTCGTTGTAAGATACCACCGTTAGTATATTAAATGTAGACATTAGTCAGCTAATGTTTATCGGCCGGAGATGGAGAGCGAGACGGTGGATGTCGGACGCGAGATCTTAATTGGACCATAATTCATCGGCGATCTTTCTTCGCGATGGATAATACCGCGTGTCGCCGTTTTTTCCGACGTATTTCTCGAGATCTTCCCGCATGCGGGATGAAATACGCAAGAGAGAGAGAGAGAGAGGAGAGAGATCTTTTGCGCTACGCAGTTCGAGTAAATTTCTCTTTACCGAAGGTAAAATAATAAATCGCGTAAAATAATAAACAATGACGCATAGATCATTTTTTAAAAGACGGAATAGCTCGAATCTACATCGCAATTCCAGGGGAAACGCGAGAATACATCCCGGAATACGCGGAACGATCAATAAACATCTGTTTCGTTTTATATGTGCTCGTTTCCTCTACGAGGATTTTATTTTCCAGAGATTCGCGATGTGCCGAAAAAAGAATGTTTCGTCGATTCGAGCCGGAACCTAGGAGAGACCGGCAGTTTCGAACGTGGATAGAATCCGGTACCCCGGACATTTCCTGCCGATCCTTCCGGCGCGCGTTTGACGGCGTACAAAAAGCACGCGTCTGCTTTGTTCCATCCGTTCGTTTTCGTGACCGAAGCGCCGATCGCCGAGGTCGCAGCTTCCGTCGAGGTGTCCGAAGGAAACGCGATGCCAGGAGAGAAGAGGAGACGAAGGAGAAGGGAGGAAGAAATTCCCGGTAACTTTCCCTCCTACGCGCGAACGGTTCGGAAGAGATCCCTCCTCGTGCTAGTGATGGGATCAACCGTGATTTTTCTTCATTCTTCGATTTAATCGCGATAACGCACTGTCGTACTCCTTTTCTTCTTAGTTTATGTCTTTTGATAAGTTAAGATTACGTCGCTCGAAATATGTCAACATTTAACTATTTAAAACTATGGCCTCACTGGAGCAATTCTTCGTTGATGTTTCTTAAAAATGTTGCTCGTTGTTGCTCCAGTGAGGACGCAGCTTGAAACTTTTGGCAACAACAAGCAACTTTTTTTGAGAAACATGGGATATAATAAAAAGTTGCTCGTTGTTGCTCCAGTATGAGGACGCAGTTCGAAACTTTTGGCAACGACTAGCAATTTTTTTTAAGAAACCATGGAATATAAAAAGCTGCTCGTTGTTGCTCCAGTGAGGACGTAGCTTGAAACTTTTGGCAACAACTAGCAACTTTTTGAAGAAACATGGAACATCAACAAAAAGTGAAGACATAGAGACTTAAGATCGCTTCCTTTTTCCCGGCAAAATGCGATCAATATACAATCACTGAGTATTTATTATTTATTGTAACATTAAATGAGTTACAATAAATTTACAAAATTATTACAATTTCTTTTATTTAAATTTTTCAATAAAATTGACATATAAAAGTCAAGAAAGATGTAGACGCATGAAAGATTATTGAAAGATTATTTAAGTCGATTATTGAGAAAAGCGTAAATATATTATATGAGATAAACATATTCATAATCTTAAGTGTGCGCTAATGTTTTGTACCCTTAAACACATCCTTCGAATATTTAATAATCCCCGAAAAAAGTGAATATGTCACGGCAAGCTATATTTATCTCTAGCTATATTCTACTGCAACGTAATCTTGATCTGTCCTTAACGAGGCTGTAAATCAGGAACCCTGCAATAATCCTAAATGCGGTCCTCAGCGAAGTCCATATTTCAAAATGTTAACAGCCCGCTATAAATTCTTGATCCCGTTGCTTCTTCCTTCAGATATAACTTCGCCTTCTTCAAAGAACCCTTTTCTTATTGTCTTCTCCTTTGTCTCTAAATTATTCATCGAAAGTACAGCGATATAGATAAAACATAGATAGAGCATAGTCATCTTGTATCTCCGATCTGTAATCGCAGTCGAGAGAATCGGATCGAAGCCATCACTACTACGGACCTCGGACTCGGGCCCCGGCTTGGCGAGCCTTTCTAATCCGCTGGGAGCGAGTTGATGTTTTCGCGCCAGCTAGTAGATGGTAACGGACGTGGTGCCTAGCAGAAGGGGCAAGGACGACCGAGGCCGACCGAGGCTGGCCTCGCCTGCCTCGCACGAGAGAGGAAGTCACGGGTGGGAGAAGGAGAAAAGATCAACCACGCCGCGCCGATCGGGGCGGACTAACAGCAACGACCGCGCGCGGACTGATCTGTCAATGTGTGCGTATACGTGCGCGCGTGGATACTCGGTTACACGATGCCACCGACACCGGATCTCGAGAAGTCATGCGAGTTAGGAGCAACGTGGGATTTTGTCAAGCGTTGCATCGCGCTGGAATTTCGCTCTCTCGATCGAGACATTTCCTTTCGACAGATATAAAAAGAAAAAAAGAAATGTCTCGGAAATAAAGAAAAATAAAATCGTGAAAAATTCCAAATTCCTCGCAAATTATTTCTTTTTCTAATATTAAGCATAGCGACTCTTTAAATTATTTATTTGCGAAAGACCAAACGCGATGACATTAGATATCTCTCTCTCTCGTAGAAATGTATCGTATGAAAGGGGGCTTCAGGCTTCAGTGAATTTGAAATGGAATTCGAATGGCTCGCGGTACGATAAAGCTTGCACTTGTTCTTTTTACGTCAAGTCCTGCAGTTCTGAGTAAGCGAATGCTAAACGGCGAGACGCGTTTATCGTACGGAATGCATGATATACGCAGGTGCACGAACGTCGAATGTACGCAAACACGTTTGAGGAATGCATAATTTATCCAATTTAAATTATATCGCGGCATTCCTTTTGCTATAATCGTTTTTATTTCGAGACGTTGACACGAGATGTATTCGCAATTAATTATGTTTAATTATAATCCGCATATGAGACTATATTTTTTACGCTCTATACACATCGATAAACTCGATGTGCATGTTTAGGATAAAGCGATCAGCATGAATTAAATTATTCTTCGAGCAGATTTCACTACGCGCCATATAGATGCAACCGTGGGCCTATAGCCGACTCTTAACAGCAACGACCGCGCGCGGACTGATCTGTCATGTGTGCGTATACGTGCGCGCGTGGATACTCGGTTACACATGCCACCGACACCGGATCTCGAGAAGTCATGCGAGTTAGGAGCAACGTGGGATTTTGTCAAGCGTTGCATCGCGCTGAATTTCGCTCTCTCGATCGAGACATTTCCTTCGACAGATATAAAAAGAAAAAAAGAAAATGTCTCGGAAATAAAGAAAAATAAAATCGTGAAAAATTCCAAATTCCTCGCAATTATTTTCTTTTCTAATATTAAGCATAGCCGACTCTTTAAATTATTTATTTGCGAAAGACCAAACGCGATGACATTAGATATCTCTCTCTCGTAGAAATGTATCGTATGAAAGGGGCTTCAGGCTTCAGTGAATTTGAAATGGAATTCGAATGGCTCGCGGTACGATAAAGCTTGCACTTGTTCTTTTTACGTCAAGTCCTGCAGTTCTGAGTAAGCGAATGCTAAACGGCGAGACGCGTTTATCGTACGGAATGCATGTATATACGCAGGTGCACGAACGTCGAATGTACGCAAACACGTTTGAGGAATGCATAATTTATCCAATTTAAATTATATCGCGGCATTCCTTTTGCTATAATCGTTTTTATTTCGAGACGTTGACACGAGATGTATTCGCAATTAATTATGTTTAATTATAATTACGCATAATACATGAAAAGCTATATTTTTTACGCTCTATACACATCGATAAAACTCGATGCTGCGCATAACTTAAAAAATAAAAAGAAAGTGATGCGTTTTTTATAAATCATCCGGATTCTGATTCTTCGCGCTTCAAATTATTGTTTCACTCGGGGACAGCTGTTTTCCTCGACGCAGACGCCCCTGTTTTCATCCCTCACGTAGCCGTCCTCGCAGATGCAACCGTGAATGCAACCTTCGTCCTGGCGCAAGTCATCGTTTCCCACTGGTCCAGATTCTCGCAAGTTTTCTGGCACGTCCGTCCCCGGAACACTCGCTGTATTCCTCGTGCTCCTCACATTCCACGGAAAGATCCTCGTCAACGTCTGCATAGATTTCATAATTTACATCTAGGGAACCAAAAAAAGACTTTCTCTTTATCACACGATTATTAAGAAAAAAACCCGTTACACTTTCCGCGATTGAAATTTCTCGCTTGAGAATTTCAATCTCGAGTACGAATTTGCAAACAACGCGAGGGAGAAGAAACGGGTTTCGAACAATAAAAACTTACTCTCACCGACCTCGACCCCGGCAGACGCGTCGTCCAAATCATCGGAACAATAAACGCCGGAAGAAGAGCGAAAGCGAAGAGCACGGAGAATTTCATCATTTCGAAAATGGTTCGAGGAAATACGAGAAAAATGCGTCGCCGGACTCTTTAAGTACTCGCCGATTTATCAAACTGGTACACTACTGATATCAGCGTGTAACACGACCAGTTTTCTCGTATGCAGATTCTCGATATCGGCGGGACGTGCCATAAATCGCGACTAAAGGGTCGTTAGATATACTTGAGCGCAGGAAGAGGAAGATACATGTTCATTTCCTTCGGCGGGAAATCGCAACGAGCCTCTTGCAGTGATTTTGTGTTATATATTTGTGGAACTTTCAATTGTACAGTAACTCGGTTTTACATACAACGGTTTACATAGAGTTATTACCTTATTCCACTAAAATTACTCGTATATTATAGCTTAACTAAACAATCGTAATAAAGAGATCGATAATGTATATCAATATCTTTCCCCTAAAATTCTCTATCGAGAATCGCAGATACTCAATTTGGGAGTACTATTACTTATGTTGAAATTTACGTGAAAGTTAGGTTCTTATAATTATTAAGATCAAGCGAAACGGAAGTTTTAGGCATATTAGAATATACGACCTGTAATGGCACGTTGGATTTTATTAAATTCTCGAAACAGAAATGCGCGATGGTCTTCCGCTTTGGTTGATCGTGCTTGCTTCACAATTTTCACAACGTAACTACAAATTTCTGTATCGTACAAAAGGATCAGACGCCATTGGATAATTATAAAATAAATTGACTTCCGTTTCTGATAACGAATGATAATGAAAGCCACTCGCCAGTTAAATATACTTTACTTAATGCGTTAATGAATCGATAACGAAAAATCTAATTATTGTTACACTATACAGAGTAAATATTAATATATTGGATAAATATCAAAGAAACTTTTCATGATTCATGTTGGGATAAATATGAAATTTTCGAAATTTATAAAATGATCCAGACAAAATTATATTTGCTAAAGTATCGATAAAACTTCATTTAAAAAACACCTCTTTAATAATCAAATATCATAATTTATTGGTTTAATTATATAGATTAGATTTAAGTTTGAAGTATAATTAGAGTTCAGAATGGAAAAAATTAAGGTAAACGTCTTAAAATGGAATTATTGAGATTATACGATTGACAGTTTGTGATAACAAAAGAGATAAGATCGTTACTAACTACAAAAGTATCTCAATATGTCTTGCATTAATTGGTCGACTACCTAATTAACTAAGAGCGACTTGAAGAAAACGAATTATGTATCACAGCGAAGCAGCGACGATGGTGGGCAATAGATCGTATCTACCAAATCTTAGCTGCAATGGCTCTCTGCATTAAAACGTTCTTGCTTCGCTGTTTCATGCGCTCAATGAAGTACTCCTTGCCATCCAGGTTCTCGTCGACAGGTTCAACCCCTTCATTCTGGCAACAAACGAGAGTTAGTTTGTTCCTCGTGTATGTGGCTGATCATCATCATCATCATCATCATCATCATTGTCATTTTCTCCGTCAGCTATTCCGCTTTTATCATCAATTGTTATCATGATCGTCATCGCAAAGACGAGCCGGCCATTTTCGTATGCCAAAAACCTACGCAGAGTCTAACCAACCTTGGTGCTAGCTGCATCGCCCCCCTCTCCTCTCCCCATCTCTCATAGTCATCATCATCTCTTTCCTCTCCTTCGCTCAAGGGTCCAGCTTGTCTCTTGTTAGGTGGTACAGTTGAGCCACCGCTGCCACCCTGCTGATGTTCGACGTCCTCGCCACCTTCCAGCATCTTGTTGATCTTCTCCTTTGCTTCGTCCACCTTCCTCATTGGATCAGGCGAGTAGCTGCGATCGCTGTACCGATCGCGCGATGTACGGCGATCTCTAAAGTCCCGTCTATCGCGGAAATCACGGAAATTCTGTTTGTGGAAGAATCTGCCACCACGATTACCACGACCGCCGCGGCCGCCACGATTGTTGAAGCCACCACCGCGACGATTGCCGAAGCGATTGTTATGCTGATTGTTGTAAAAGCGATTTCGGTTTTGGAAATTGTTACCGCCGCCGCGATGATTCGGATTATTGAAGCCTTGGAAACGTGGCTTGTAGTACGTGCCGCGATTATTATACGGCCGAAATTGTCTCTTGCGATAATAATTTCGATCACCTGACCTACTGCGGCTGCGACTCCTCGAATATGATCTAGTTCGCGAACGTGATCGCGATCTGCTGTAGGTGCCAGATGGAGATCTGCTATACTTCCTCTCGTAACTTCCCGATCGTCGATTTGAATACGATCGCGAACGACTTCGCCTCGGTGATCGAGATCTCGACGAACCTGAACTGGATGCACTACGAGATCGGCTGCGCGATCGTTTAGCCGGACGGTCTCTGCTCATACGCTTGTTGACACCACCTCTGCTCGAATCACGTTTCTTCGGAGTCTGTCGATGACCTCGCTCAGTCTCGCTATCGGAATCGGTTCTCGGTCCTTTGGCTTGACTATTTTTCGCTGGTGGCGGAGGCCGCGGTGGTTCGGGTGGATGTCCGGTTCCGCTGTTTTGACCGATCGGTTGAAACTTGCCACCCAAATTGTTATTAGAGCCAAATTTGGTCGGTGTGGTTTGCGAAATGGACATGGTGGGTTCTTTGTACGATTGGAATTTGTTTTGCGGTTGTGGCGTGGGATACTTGACAGGCGCTTGCTTCGGAGGCTCCTTCGGCAATGGCGGTGGAGGTGTCGGTGCAGATTGCGGCGGCGGTGCTCTCTTTTCGGCAAGTTCACGCTGCATCTGCTTCCGTATATTTAAGGACTTTTCGAGAGCTGCGCGTTGTAGCCTCTCTTCCAATTCGTTGTCATCGTCCTCATCACTGTCCACAAAAACATTAGATTGCATTTTCTTGCTTTCCGGTGGAATATCTTGCCACTTTGGCGGAGGAACGTCTTTTTGTCTAAAATCATACATTAATATATAAATTTGCACAACCAAATAAAATTTGAGAAATTAAATTTTATAGATTTGTAATAAAGATTCATATTGTATATATATTTATTTTATATACTCACCTAGCAGCTTGCGCAGCTTTCCATTTTGCATTCAACGCAGCAGTATCTAACGTAGGCAGCTTTGGTTCTGGATGAATCAATTGGGACTCTTGTTCAAATATGTCTGTTAGTGGCTTCCTCTGTATTTCTATGATAAACAATTATGGTAAGAGCTTATCGTATTGTTGTCTGATATTACTCTATATTTCAGTATTTTATATATGTATATATACCTTTCCTCTGTTGCGCAGTCATGGGCATCCTGGATTCTCGCTCGTGATACGCCTTTGAAGCTTCGTCTCTCTCCCTTTCCCTCTCTCTGCGCAGCTCCTCCTCCCTACGTGAACTCTCAGCGAGCTTCTCCGCGTTGCTAAGAGGGGAAGGTATGTCATTATACTGTGCTACATACCTAGTAAATATAAAAACATAAGTAAAATACGAGATATCTGACGGCCACGTGATTTCCGTTTAATTGCGTTAGCTGAAGATATAAAAGTGGCGTAAATAAAAGGACGATTGTAATAGAATGCAAAGTTAAACTAAATATAAGTTATTAACCGGACAATAAAAAAAAAAAAAATAAATAAAAAAATAAAAAAAAAATTTAAACTCATTATATGAGACAATTCGAATAAAGATTCCAACCTTTTCAACGCCGCACAGTCTTTCTCAACCTTTGCATAATAAGCATTAAGTTTGGACTCTAACTGTTCCAAGTCTGGTAAAGACGACTTTTTCAACGCTTCTAAATCTCGTTCGAGTTTATCCTTGTTTTTACGCTTTTTCCGTTCTTCTTTCTTCTTTTTCTTTCGACTCTTCTTATCCTCCTTCTCTTTGTCTTTTCCCTTCTTCTCTTTCTTCTTCTTCTTCTTCATCTTTTCACTCTCAGAGTGTTTCTTTTCCTTTTCCCTTTCTCTCTTCCATCTCGCTGTCTCTTCCAAGAATTTTCTCACCTTTTGCATAAAAAAATAATCTCGTGTTTAATTTTTATATTGCACATGTTTGAAATGTGTCACAATTGAGTAAACACCTAAAAAAACCTAATATATAAATTATAAAATTATTCTTGCCTTATCTTCGTAATCAGAATCATCCTTGGTCTGCTCAAGAAATTTGCGTACTTTAGTTTCGTAGTCATCAACCTTATCGCGCGTATTCGCAGTATAAGAGGCCGGCGCGATAGTATCATGAGTAGTGGCAGCTGCAGCCGGAGGATTATTATATTGGGCCATACGCTTGCTAAGTGGTGAAAGCGAGCTGCGATGATCTTTCTTGTGCTTGCGCTTACGACTTGGCGAACGGGATGCCGAACGAGAGCTTCCGGACGACGACGAGCTGCTCGAGTCCGAACTTGAAGAACTCGAAGAACCGCTGGAGGAGGAACTCGAGCTGGAACTCCATCTTTGCCTCTTCTTTGATCGAGATTTTCTCTCTTTTTACGCTTCTTTTTATCTTTTTTGTTTTCTACAACGTCATTCTCGGTTTCGAAATTTTTAAAGGTATCCAAAGGATTCAGTGATGCTGTAAGGGTCTTAGATTTTATGTACTCGATGGAATTTCGCGCTTCCTCGTGATACGGCGCAATCGCCAAGCAGTTCTCGTATGCCTTTTGAGCGTCTTCGTATTTCTTCTCGTCTTCATAACTACGACCAAGCGCCACTAACGTTTCCGCCATATACTTACGAGCATTTGCATGCGTTTGATTTAATTTCAAGGCTGTCTCAAAGTCGTCAATCGCCTTCTTGAAACTTCCGCTATTTGCATATCTGCGCAAAACAAAAGATAGTATATTAAATACATTTGTGCATATATCAACATTTTAAATAGTTTTTGTAAAAAAAAATTTTGCTTGAAGAAAGCTTTGTAGCTCTATAGCTCTTTCTTTTTGCTCTATATTGCTACATAACTTATAGAGATACAATGTTATAAAGCATTTTTACAGAGTAGATATTAATAAATTTATCACAAAATTCAATAGGAAAACTTACAATGCTCCTCGAGCGACTAAGCCTTCAACATTCCGAGGATCAACGGTGAGTGCTTTGTTGAGACACTGGAAAGCTTCGGAATGACGGCCGGCCTTGAAATGATCTATACCCTCAGCAACGCTTCGGAACGCCCATTTACTTGCTTGCGCTTGTCGTAATTCAGAAGCGTATTCATTTGGCGGAAATCTCTCTCTGTGCATCGATAAAAATAATTAGACACGGACAAAAATAATTTACATTTACCGATATAAATTATATTGCAAGACGTCTTACCTCAATCCAACCATATTAGAATGATTCTCTTGTCCAAGACCGACCAAGTCGCACAGATATTTTATGTTGTTCGGATTGTTGAAGCCAGTACTATTCTCCAACAGCATTTCATAACTCTGGCCTTTGTTGTCCATCGCTTTCCTACACCACAGAGAAAAATACTTGATTATCAAACGTTGCAAAAATCATCGTGACCTTTGTCAAAGAAGAGGAAACCAAAGCTACTTCGTTAACGGTAAAACCAAAGACTTGATAATCATGACAGCCGAGTCCGTATGATCCTGTCTGTAGATAATATCGCCTGTTTGGCAATGCGTGTGCGCCTCGGTTTTCTCTCTGATACATCTTTTAATATATTTCTTTTCTATTCGTATATACATATGTTTATATGTGCATATTAGCCATTGAAGTCTTCTCACATTCATACACACGAGATAGTTTTGTAATTCATTTCAATTATTCCTGCACAATGATGCTTCTTTACTTCGATCTGCATGTATTATTCAGTGACATGATACTAATGCCAAAAGTGCTTATATTTTTATCTTTTTCATTTCATTGTACACAGATTGTTGTGCAACTTCTGGTATTAGAATCGTTCAAAATCTACCGTTTCTACCGTTAAGAAGCAGCAGGGGTCCGAAACAGGAATGGCGGTAGAAGGTAAATTCTTGTATTACCAGATATATAATCTCATAGTTATAAATTCATATTGGTACACAACCTCAATATTATGTAAACTCGTCTCTCACCTTTCATGTACCGTTAAGACGTATATTTCTAGTATTTTGTATCACATTTGTAATCGGATTTTTTTCTCAACACAAAAGCATACGGCCTATCATCAATCGATGGTGTGGTTTCGATTTTTTATAAGTTTTTTTTTTTGGTGCGATAAAATAAATTGCATAGCCCTAGAATAAGTTGGGAGAGCCACGCTTGAATATATATTATCTTCCACGGGTGACCAAAAAAATTGTTTTAGATGTAGTATTTTCGCCTGTTTGCATTTTGTGATGTCAATTTGTTATCAACATGTGACATCACTTTTTTTTTTATTTGTCAATATAAGCTGTAAGTTTAAACATTAAGGCATTATTATACGACAAGGCGCGATTCTTTTGAGGCTTAAACATAAAAAGGTAAAAAGTTGAGCGATTAAGATTCGAGTTGTTTGGTCTCTGCTTCAAATCTGATGTAACTTTCTAATAGATTACATATCTATTTTATCTTACCTTTAACAAGGAAAACATGATTGCATATACCTCTTGCTGTAATATACAATCACTTGCAAGAAGATGAGATTAATACACATTTTAAAGAACACCCAATACAAATATACATATATTCTTGATATCCTGGGTAAGAGACCAAACAACTTTAAATCAGTGTTATACCTACCGTCTGTTGCATTCATTCTGACCAAGGCTCGAGGCTCAATGTCTCACACTGGAAATTCAATCTCAAAAGTCATTTGCGCCATAGTTTGGCTGGTGTTTTGAGAGAACATATCGCAAATGTAGATAGAATATGTGCGCAACAGAGCCATGTCAACCAATGCTCAAGGTTTGAATTCATTTGTATCACATTAGAAATTCATCATCATACTGACTATCAACTTTTTACGTTACATACAGTATCTGGCACCTAAATTCATAAAAACGTGTAAGAGGAATCAAATCTAATTTACCTAATTTTGTTAGTATCACAGTGCTTCTGTTAAAATTCGACTTTGTCGACTTTTTCCCACCATGCCGTATTATTCTTACCTTTAATTTTATTTTTAAAAATTTAGCAAAAATTATGTATGTAATAAAATTTATCATCTTACGAGGAGATATATAATCAAAGAAGAAAGTCAGTGTATTGACTGGGTCTATTACAACTGGATAAAAAAATTTCGATTTTGTCTTTCTTAGTGCAAGTGCTCATACAATAAATACACAATGAACAAAAGTGTGACATCACAAAACGCTTTCATCGTTTATCATGTGAATAAAATATCTCAGTGATATAATGAACCAACTTACAAGAGTTAGTGAAGCATACTATGGATTCAGTAGACTTGCAATTATATCTAATTGAAATAATTTTATTAACTTACTTATAGGCTTCCGGAAGGTCGTCGGAATGAATAAGTCCTATAGGTGGGTGTGGCGCTTGCCCTTCCCGAGCAGGTACGTTCATAACTGCAACAACACGCTCGGCTTCAACGTTAACTTCACTGACTACGACGCAGACGAGATCATTGGCCATGTAGCCCCTTTTACACCTTTCTTGTCCACCGCCCGGCACAAGTGGCCGTATTTAATATCAGTGCCT